TTCACAAAACCTGTATTTTCGTTCGACTGCTGTCTTCTCTGCGTAGATTCTCGCCTTTTTTTGGTGTAACAGCCCCGGAAATCCAAACCCTGGGAAGAACAGAGCCCAAAATCCTTTATTTTGCCAAAATATTTTGCCCACCCCTGTAACCAACACAAACACACACACATGCACTGCACCCAGCAAGAGGAGAAAGTACAAAGTGAGTGCAAAGTAGTCGGACGGAGGGGGAAAGAAGTTTGAGATTTATGTATCGTGGCCGGGAAGCCTTTACTCGTCGTAACCGTACATAAATGGATGGAAGTGGAGGAGGAAGCTGTTGCTTGTTTCTGATCTGTAGCGATAAAATGGAGGTGGATTGGTTCCTTGTAGAATAAAAAAAAGATTCAATAGTCTCCACTCGGTGGAGATTTTGAGTTTTTTCCACTTTCACAATCATAAAAGTGAAATCTGACAGTTTATGGATCCAATATTATTGCGAGCCGGACTTTCCTCTCAATTGTGGACGTTTTTTGTGTTGTTGCTGCTTTCTCCATTCCGTAAAAGGCATTAGTTTAACGAGCAACTGCATCTTTTGGACTGTGGGATAAATAATAAATAGAAATATGCCTCCTTAAAGAGTCAACTTGACCAATTTTTCTTTCCTAATGGGCCATTTTCCTACTTGTTTATATTTCGCGTGGAGTTGCAAAGGACGACAAGGTTGGTCTGGTTTTTGTCCCGGTGTTCCGTCCCACTAAGTACTTTTGGCATGAGCATGACCGTTATCGTATCGTGAATGAAATGCATTATGGAGCGAGGAGACAGACTTGTTATGTTATTACCATGCAGTAATAATCATAATCCAGCTTGACTCGGGAGAGGGAATCGACCTCTTTTAAATTTTCAATGGGTCAGCAAACGCAGTTTTGGCAAGTCGTAGATTTGCTAATCTGTGCAATAATCTGCAGACAGACTTATTTACTGTCTTCAGTGAGAGAAAGGTTTACTGCTTTATGGACGAGGGCGACTACACTCCTTAATGTTTTGTTGTCCAGAGAGAGAGAAACCAGTCGAACTCACAATGGAGGTCTCGCAGCGTATGCTCTAGATTTTGGCTAAATTAGTGTCAATCGATCACAAATTTAATTAGTATGAAATTTGCAAAAGGCACGATCTCGTAATGGGAACGTTTGGCGGAAATATTTGCATCCGAAGAGGAGAAAACGCGAATTAAAGTTGATAAATTTTGCACTTTTCAAATTTACTGTGCATTTTCTCCTCTTTGGATGCAAATATCTCTGCCGAACGTGACCATTGGCAGATCGTGTCTTTTGCAAATTTCATATAAATTGAAATTGCATCGACTGACAGTAATTTAGCTAAAATCAGAGGGCACACACTGAGAGACCTCATTGTCAGTGGGCGAGTATGTACCTCTCTCCGCACTGGATTGTACATAAGACGTATAGATTATTCAATCCCATAAATATTTGCCGACTCTCTCCTCTTCATTGCACGGTCTACTGCTCCGTATGAATTGTAGAATTTAGCACACCATAAAACTATATGCTAACTAACTAACGGGGGGAAAGTTGATAAGCCCGAAGATAAATTACCTACTTAGCCCCACACTCGAAAGTCGAAAGTCCATCCAGTCCAGTCCAGCTACACACTGTGTACAAGCGTATAAGCCATTATTGCACCACTTTATCAAGATCCGCTCCCAAAAGTGAAAGCAAAGGCCCGAAAGGATTTTAGATTTACATTTATTGATTTTTCTCCTCCACTTTCTCCCCGCCTTTCACCAACCAAACCACAAACGCATAAACATCGTCGTGGAGTAAATCCGCTATGTAAACTTGGCCCAGTGAAATTTCCGCGGTTTGAAATTTTCCTTAAGCTCTGTCATAATAATTCCGTAAGTAAATCTATGTGTAGTGGAATTACTCGTGCAAAAATTCCTCCCCCAGAAATTTCCGGGCTAGTGGAGGCCCATATTTTATATTCCGTGTTGACATAGCGTTTAACATTTCACTCGGAAATCTCAGACTTACTTAACTTTGCCCCACCTCCGACCAAACCAAACCAAACCAAGCGGAGTCCAGGAAAGTAAACGACTACTTAATGAGGTCATGTACAAACAGTGGCCGCGGAAGCGTGGGTGCGGACAGAGGGACAATGTCCGCAGGGTTATTCGATGTCCGCATCAGCTCCCCATGTTATATAAACCCCTCCCTCCCCCTATCCTACAATGTTAATGTCCCCACCGCTTCCGCGGCCACTGTGTCCAAGATATCAGCAAGACTTGCTTATCTAACACTTATAGCCGGCTTGTCCTTCTTACGTATATACTAAATGGTGAGTCGGGGTTAATTAGTTTATCCTGTCTTAAGACAGGAGACGAACGAAGAAGAAGAAGAAGAGAAATTGACTGGGGCGTGATTCTTGCAAAAGTCCATTGAATTTCGAGCCTTTCGTAACTTCTTAAGAATTCAATAAGTAAAATACACTTTTCCCTGCATAATGACTAATCAGTCCGTATTGTGAAAATGAAGGTAAATTGAGGCGCAGAGTGAAAATTTCGGGTCCAATGCCAGCCAACCTAACCGGAGGGAGAAAGCTGAGAATATCGCCTGGCTAGGATTTGGTGGTGGTGGTGGAGCATGTTTTTTTTTCTTCTTCTTTAACGGTGCATACATAATCCACATTACGGCGTAGGAGTCGACCTCGGACTCATAACAAGAAGGCAGCAAATTACCCGAGTAAACAAAACCCAGCAGATGATTGCTGTATAAATTGGTTTATTTTTCTCCTGAGGATCAAAAGTTCGCCAGAGATCTGGAATAATTGAGCAGATAATAAAACGAAAGTGGAGCAGGAGATAAGCAAGCAGGCTGTGTAAATAGGAAGGAAATGCTATTCATTTCATTTGCATAAGGTCCAATTACCCCGATTGTTTAATTAAATTGAATACAGGCTCAAGAAATTAATGAATGAACGAACGAATGAATGAATGAATGGGAGATGATGATGGGGAGGAGGAAGCAGAGGAAAAATGAAGAAATATGGCCTAACCCACAAACCTGACCCAAAAATAAATATCTGTGACTTAGCCAAAAGTAAAAGTATGGCAAGTTCTTCTGAGGATGGTTTTGTTTTAGACGATGTAAAGTAAACTATGCAGAGATCGGTATCGCTTTCTCCCTCTCGCAAATCCTAATTCGCAAAAAGCCAGCCAAACCGGGAGCCAGAAGAAGATCTGTACGAAGGAGGAGAAGAAACGAACGACGGCATTATTATGTAGAGTGCTTGCACCCATAAATCTCAGCCTATGGGCTGGGTTTCACTACTGTTGCTGTACCGTCTTGATCTGATCGTGAACAATGAATGAGGAGTCGGGCAATTTTGCGAAATACTTACTTATCTGTAGTACAGCTACATAGAAGCTCCTCCTCCTCCTCTCCCGGTTGATAAATTACGAGACTATGCGAAATTTATATCGTATGAAAAAGTATGGTGCGCATTTTATTTCAATCTTTCAATAATTTGGGAGGGCAGTATATAAGTTAGTTGGGGAATAATCTTGGTCAGTTGGTAGGTATACAGATGCCCCATAAGAAAGTAAGAACCAGATATGTACTTATGAAAAATCGCTGAAATTTTCGCAAAATTTCGCAAAATTTTTATTGAATACTTTTATGGTAATGCGTTGGCTTTTTGTAGTCGAATTTCTTTGAGAAACAAAATTTCGTCTCGAAAAATTATTTTCGCATTTTATTTCAATCTTTCAATAATTTGGCAGCAGGGAATTTACTGCGAAAACAATCTTGGTCAGTAGGTATGTACTCCATAAAAAAAGTAAGAACGCAGTAACGTAACATGCCACCCGATCCAAACTTGATTGTTTGTACGGCACACATAAAACTGCCCATTGCATGTCCTCCTCGTCTCTCTCAATCTTTGTCACGGCGGCGACTTTCTCTGATTTCACGAGCCAGACACACTTTCTCTTTTCTCTCTCCACTTGATCTTCTCATCGGGCCAATGTTTCCTCCAAATCAGAAGTCGGCCGCCTCGAACTACTACCAAGAAAGGAAAGTAACAAGACAATGGTTCGACCAAGAAGTGATCCGGTTTCAGTTTTGTTGTCGATTTTGTCGGAAGTCAAATGTTTCTCGGGGGTGGTGGAGAGTTACACGTTTCGAAAAGTCTGTTAGCCTTGTCGCAAGTCAAAGAAGAGGAAGAACAAGAGGAGAAAGTGTTTTCTCCACCCATTGAGCAGTTAGTTGTTGTTTCTTGAGCCAAGAAGGAGACTAGGACAAGGTTTAGGTTTACGGTTCAATTCACAGAATTTGTAATGTAATAGGCCATAAACAAGGTCCCTAGTGCAGTAGCAGTCGTCGTGGTTGTGGGTGTTCTGCTGCCAGTGGAATGAACTACAATAGGGTCAAAGATTGTTTAGTTTGTTGGTCTTTCGCACATTTGCACGATCGCTGTACGTACACATCGATCCAATTTTCCTGCTTTTCCTTGGTCGGTGTATCCATCCGTGTGCATGTAGCAGTTGAGCTCGGCAGCTCAGCAGACGTAATTTGGGACGGATTAAATTCTATTGATGAGCACGGCGACACTACGGGGATTTGCTTTCTCCTCCTTTTCTCTGTTTTCGGAAAGGTTGTCATTGTCACATTATTACTTCACGACAAGTTTTGTGTGTTGGAAGGGAGGAGTGAGTCCAACTGGCATAATGTCACGACAGTCAGGGTATAGAATGGACTAATCATAATCGTCTCGTGCTATCATCACCAGTGGCCGTGGGGACTGGGGGACAATGTGGATGTCCCCACGGTTATTTGATGTCCCCACCATCTTAGATAACCCCCTCCCTCCCCTATCCTACAATGCTAATGTCCCTCGATGTCCCCACGGCTTCCGCGGCCACTGATCAAACCATTTTACAAAATTGATGGAATGTGTACATTCAATGTTTCAAAAATTGTTTTAATAATTCGTTTCAGATCGAGCGGAGTCGTTTTGAGGGTAAAATTTCCACCATTTCCACCGCTCCGAATTATGCGTGACGAGTGCGAGTAAGAATTTAAGAAGTGGATCACGAAGGTATTTTACCATTAAAAACAAGCACCAACTGCCGTCGTGGTGAACTAAGTCGTTGACTGTGGACGTCGTCCGTGTCTATCAAATCACCGGCGCCGTGGAGCAGTGTCAAGAAATAAAGAGCAAGGAGAACAAAGGCCCGACTCGTGTACTTTACGGTTAGTTATGCACTCTTGAATACCTCTCGGAATTTGTAATGAGCGAGAATTATTATGGAGAATACGTTAAATATGTCGAGCATTTTTTACGAGCGAGTAAAACACTCACACCACACCAACTATTACCAAATATGTGCATGGCGTGAAATAAATACGTGAAGGTAGAAAGCAGTCATATTTAGAGGGCGGATATGCATTTATTTTCAAGTTTTTCATTTGATGACGGTCAAACTTTGGGGGTATGTTGCCTAATTCGCATATGTGACAAAAATTTCAAGATATTTTTACATGTTGTTATACACATATGTCTAGGTTTTCCGACATAGATATATATTTATAAATATTTCCGTTACGTAAATATTTTAGATATCTTTTCAAACATGCATATATATATATATTGTAAATATTTCAAGAATACGAGACGAAATCTGTTTTTCTCAGGGAAATTCGACTACAATAAATACAGAGCATTACATATATTCAAAAATAAAAATTTTGCAAAAATTTTTTCGTCTCGAACCTATTCCGTAAATATTTTAGCGTTTTTGTTCGTAAATAAATATCCGTCCTCTGATCATATCCCATGAACTGGGAGAACTAGTCCCTAATATAAATGTGTGTCCATTTTTACTCCTCCGGAAAACACACAAGTCTACAAGCGATGATCCAGATAAGATATGGAGTGAAATATTTGTTACGTTTTATTCTTTATTGTGGGGCAAGGATTTTGGAGAACAATACTCAATACCGCACGGATTCCCTCCTCCGTCCTCCACACACGTATATATAGCAAGTAGTCGTCGTAGAGTAATGTTTTGAGATGGAGGATCAAGATTGCATGCACTCTTCCTTCACAAGTAACACAATGGTCCCCATTTGTACGTGGTAATGATAGGATCATGCTAACTTGTCTGGGAAGAAGAGTTCCTTCCGACGACGACGACGAAAACAAGGACAACACTCTCTCCAGAGACGGAAAGAAGACGGAACGGAGGAGCTCCAACTTTGCTTTGTTCACAAGCACGAGTCATTAGAGAACTATTGCCAACTCGGCAACATCGTTTCGATGAACGAGTTACGTTACCAACAACAGGAAGTAGACACGCTTTATTAAGGGAATAAATATCTGTACAGAAAATTTTCGGGAATTTTGAGACAAAACAAAACCTACGCTGTGTGGGTCATGATGATTTAATTTTATGTTCTTGTTTAGTTTACGAGGATTTTGAATGAATTCGATCGGAAACAACAAGACCAAGGCCAAGTTCACGTAATAAATTATGCGTTTTCATCCATTCTGCGGTCGGCGGAGAGCAAGTGTCCAGAAGTGAACGGCTTATTCTCTAATTCCATTCCACCTCGTGCTCGGTTCGTTTGGAATGAAACGTATCTTCATTTTCCGTTCTTGTTGTTACATATTTCGTTATTTTGTTATTGTTGAAATGGCGATCGATTCCGAGTTGCTTTGATGTTTCAAGTTGTTTAGAGATGGTTGTGAAGGGTTCGCCTTTTTCAGGCCATCCAGTTCTGAAAGGAGTGCAGCAATGTATGTATGGCAGGGAAGCTCTCATGGACTGGACTCCCAACCAACATAATTAATGGTTTCTGCTCCAATTTGGAGAGAAAAGTAAAGTCAGTGAAACAATAATGTTCTCTTGTTTGGTTGTAAATTTGTAACGATAATGGATCCGCCGTGTCGTGTCGTGGAAATGAAGTGCCAGCCAACAAAATTATCTGTGTGGCTTGATGATAGCATTCCTTGATATAAAACAAAATGGAGAGCTCCTGTCCTGTCCTCCAAAAGTGAAGGATTTTAAAATTTCATCATTATTTTGAGTATGACAATAAATATTTTACATCCGTTCCCTTCCCTTACGTTGCCCTACATATGTGCATGGACACGAAGGAAGGATGGATGATGATGGATGGATGGATGGATGAATAACCGACAAAAAATGGGAATGGCCCAATTAAACTTGAATTAACCATCCTCCCAGAACTCCGCCTAGTTAAGGGTCGAGTATCAAAGGAGCACGGACCCACTTTTTCGTACCTTTTGACCACCCCAAAGTCCAACAGAAAGGAGGAAATTGGGCCATCACACACTCGGACTGAATTGTCCATCTGTTTGGTTTATTTAAAACATGGTCAAGCCCAGATAACGAAAATAAATGATGATTATAATGGTAACGAGTATGAAAACATGGAGAAGGTCACTTCCTTTCAAGTCTCTCCTCCCAAATTACGAGAGGAGAAGTTGTAAAGTGAGTGAGATGGGATTAGAATCGTGGAAATCAAAACATCTGTAGTAAATAATTTGGGGCTCTTTTATGACAGTGGGTATCATTATTATTAGCCTTATTACCCACATTTTCACTCAACTTTTCAACGATCAGAGAGGCCAAGTCAAGTACCCTGGAGGAGGGGGATCCTTTGTGCCGTGGAATAATCTATTTCTTCGTCTTGTAGTAATAATAATGCGTGTCAGGCTAGTCAGGTAGGGTCGTGGTCGCTACTAAGGAGGAGGACGATTGTGTCGAGTCATCACGTCAAAACGAAAATTGGAGCGAATTGAAAGACAATACAAATATGGGGAGTAATTTCTTGGCGTTGTTTAACGTAGAACTTGATGACTCGTTACCGAAAATGGGCACATTTTTAATCATTTCTCAGGTCTGGGAATTTATATTAAAATTCTGCACATGAAATTTGTAGAACAGGTCGTTGCCAATTTAAAAAAAAATATGCACTCAATACAGTTTTTGAAAGAAGAGATCTCAAGTTTAAGAAGCTTTCAGAAAAATTGGAACTCATCGAAACTGGCGTAAAAAATTCACTGCTATTCTATTACTCAACTTACTGATTACAAATTTGTGGCCAGAATTTTAAAACAAATTCACAGAGCAGAGAAGTTATTAAAAATGGGTTAATTTTGATGATATTTCATCGAGTCCTTCGTTAATCAACTCCGGTGCATTCTCATCCCCAGATATTTATATGATCTCAACCCAATATTTCTAGTTTCAATCATCATCCCCGCATAAAATTTGTGACGACTTTCTTCTTTCTTCTCCCTCTTTTTTATACCCCATAAACAAATCCCGTCTTCATAATGGTACTCCATATGTATCACGAAGGAGGGAGAGATAAAGTTTTCCGAAAATTGGCATCTTCTCGAAGTAAGTTTGAGGAGAGATATGCAATTTAGTGTAGACATGCCTCAATTAAGTTAGGCCGAATGTTATCAAGGGAGCCAAAGCCAACTGTTTCCCGAACATTTTATGACTTGTAATTTCACTTGTGATCAGTCGATAACAATCTTTTACTCTTACGCGATACGTAGCTCTCTCCGACCTCTCCATCTCCATTATGTCGTGTCTTCTTGTCTGCCTGCCTAATAATAATGCTAATACGAATACGCTCCATTCCATTCAAAGTTAAAAACCTGAAGAGCACGGAGAAGTCTATTAAGTAGGAAAAAGCGATCGTCTTTCCGGAGAGCACTTGTTCTTGCACCTCTCAGACGAATATTATTAAAAGGAGGAGGAAAAATAGGGAAGGAACGGCTCCACCAAATTTCATTTAATTTTGGGAATATTAACTAAAGGAGATTGATGATTGGTAAAAATTTCGGTGGTGGTGGTAGACTTATTTAGTAGACCTGCATATTGCAATGATGATGATGATGATGGGCTACCTTCTTTTCTGAATGATTATTCCGTTGGTTGGTAGTATGTTCTTGGTAGATGAGGTGAAACGAGCTGAAAACTAAATTACAAATTGGTTCCACATTTAACAATCAGAAATCGAGAAATTATCCACTTTACATGCAACGTGGAGCGAACCTCGGTTAATAACTTGGCTTCTTTCTTTTCCGTTCTCAGAGGAAGCTCATTCATAGAGAGGCTTTCAGGTGTAATTTCGTGTAATGAGAAAATCAAAAACTTAACGGGACAGGAAAAGGAATTGGTCAATCTTAGGTTTCGGCGTATGTATGTAGGAATTTTGGCCAGACATAGAACTAATCTGGCCAGTGTTTCGGGTGCAAGTAACGAATTGCAAGAAATAAAGGCAAGAAAGTGTGTTTTGCAGGTATTTTTAGCTTCAAGAAATGCAAGACGCAAGAAACTATGCCCGGCCGCTAGAGTTCATACTCTAGCGGTATGAACGATTTCACTCTCTCTCTCTCCACCACTTTGTTGAATGTTTCGATCCGCGGTGGGGGAGGATGTCCCCTCAGGTGAGGAGAACAGACATGCACAAAGCCATACCAGGCAGGTAATTGTGTAAACTGTGCAGGACGACGGAATAATAATAACCTCGTCCATTCTAATTTGTTCTTCGGGCTCATGTTTTGTTTGAAATGTTCACTTCCACAGCGTCCCGAGTGTCCAACCGGGCTGGAAAATCGTGCCCATACGTTTCGCGACTTTGGTTCATTTTATTGGCGTCCGTTCCGTATGTATAACAACGCCACCAAAGTCGTATGAGAGACCTCGGAGTGGAAAGCATTGCCCTGAATTTATGAACACTTATAATTGAACAATCTTGAGAACGAACGCTTGTAATATGTACCACACCACTCTGCCAAATTTCCCGTTTACGGTTTTACCTATTTTATGTTGTAGTCGCTGTCCCATAAATAAAGCGACTCTCGTGCCAAACCAAAAGAACAGAATTTGAGATTAAGTTTGAAATAGCGAGCCGTTCATGGCTGTGCATGGCGCGGCGTGGTGTTTTCCGCTGCTGCTCAATTTTACACGATCCTGTCCACAATTCCGCAATTAACTCACTTCACTCCTTACTTCCAGATTTGAGGGAGAAAATTTTACGATTCTCTTCTTCTTCTGGAGTCGATTCGTGTGTGTGTGTAGGAACCAGAAAAGTAAGTCAGCATTCACGTCGTGTACAATTATTTTTACAGCTTTTGACTTTAATGTGAAACGGGTGATTCATGGCGAGGCTATGGTAAATTCGGTCGGGTGAGACAAGAGGGATGA